AAGTAGTTATTGAAAATATGGGAACTTCATTTTACGCGTTGTTTGATCAGGATGCAGTCCATGATTGACCAATACTTCTCGCTCCAAGGTGCAATCAGATTACGGACGCACGTGAATTTTCAAGAGGGAAAGTGGACCTCGATTGGTTTCGACTATACCAGCGAGCCCCCCCCCCAGCTATCTGCGTTGAAGCTAGGCGGATGCTCATCCGAATAACAGGACCAAGTCTACCAATGGGTTCTCGTGTTTCAGTGGAAGTAAATAGAACACGTTATATGGATCGCGATCACTGAATATATATTTATCGTATCTGAACTATACACATGAAACCGAGATGAATGAATCTGTAATCTAATTGTTGTTGTTGTTGTTTTGTTCAAATTGATGAAGACGCGTACATACTTGGTCGAGTTCATGAAACTCTGTTGCCGGGAAGGGAAGATCAACCAGCTTAATCTTGATCCAGTAGTAGATATTATACGAACTCAAAATGTCTTGTCTCCATTAAAGGGACAAGATATCGATTGCCAAGCAAACTTCTAGTTGTGACACAGATAGCGGCGAAGGCTCTCTGGTCTGGCCGAACGGGCGGCGGTGGCCCGGTGGATGTGTTCGAATCCCACCACCACCCGACTTTCCCCACTGTGTTTAATGGCAGCCCTTTGATTGGCCCTCATCCTGAAAATTATATCTTTGTATATTCAATAAAAGGAAGTATAAATGGAAAAGAAAAATAAGGCCCACTTTCTAACCCGAAAATACACTAACGTATACCATGACAAGTTAGCCAATCACGTTGCACGCCGGAGCGAGTAATGTCGGTCAGTCAGCCCTGATCAAAAAAGTATAAACTAAATTTCTTTCATTTCCGATGCTTTCCGCACAATTAAAAATTTCAGCTTTTACATTCGTTCACTGTGCATTATCATACGCCGATTTTGGTTGCCTATTTGCATAAAAGACCAAAATGAAGATTCAGATGTTGTGGGCAGAGTCAAAGAGAACATGGAGAATGAACATGGACTAAGCTTACAAAGATAATGAGTAGATGCACGAGCGCTATGTTTGTGACACAGCCTTATCACTCATTGTCTCTAACCACCGGTTACCATGATCTCGGGGTCTCCTTCCTGAGAGCCCAACGATGCCTGTGTGACTCAGTGTGCTGGTGACGTTTTTTTCATACCCTCATGCCAGGTCTTACTTTGATCTCCCTTGACCCTTTTCCAACTGCTTCCTACCNTCGTCGTGACAACCTATTTGGGGACGGGTGCAACACATCCCATCTCATGCGATCAATGGAGGTCGACCACTTGCTCCAATAGGCCACCGTGGGTATCAAAAACTGCAGCTAACCACAATATTGCTCGTCCGATTGCGTTGTCAGATTTGTGCAGTGCTGTTTCCGTAGTGGCCAAGTCTCTGCACCGTATAGCGGCCCCGGCCGAACTTCTGCAGCATATACTCGACTCTTCACGGATAACCGGATGTCGCGACGGCGCCATAGATGTCTCAACTTGGCAAGTACTAATCGACGGAATATAACTCCAACGAGAAGCATAGGAACAATGTTGATTAAACTGCCAAACGTTCAAGACTGCGTTGCTGTGTGAATATTTCGTGCTTGACGGAAACAGTCCGTAATCAGCACAAAATTCGGGATTGGGTGTCTAGGTTTGCGGCTGGTCACCCTTCCCTTGCACCTCGTGAAATGCTCCCATACGACCAAGCTTTTCAAATAGCCTCCACTGATGAAGCCCTACTCAATGCCTTTTCGTGGCGGAGGTATTTTCCCACCAAAGTGAGAGGACGAAAAGCCGACATCTGGAGCTATAACCGAGTTGGTGGACCACTGGCAGTTCACCCAAGGGATTTAGCCAAAAACTGATTCCACACCAAAAAAGAGGCGTATGAACCACACCCACACCTTTTCGGTTGTGGTAGCAGTCACCGGCTCGATTGGGCACCTTGGACGTTTGACCCTGTCAGAAAGGCGGATGATCCGATGAACTGGACACCAGCTTTCAATGGACTGCCTTTTTTTATACCGCCCTGCTGCCTTGCGGATCGGGCTTTGGTTAGCCGAAGGCTCCGATTGTAGATTATTCAGGAAAATTCACCCGCCTTGGCTTGGACAACTTGGCAGTATTCAGCGCACAAACCAATCATGGAACGTTTTTCTTTCTCATAAAGAATATTGTACCATGATTTGCTTGGCACACGGTCTGACCTCAGATAAGTGTGAAATGTAATATAGTAATATCAGCGCAAAGTCGGAGTAGGCGTTCTCCGTTGCCATTCCGGTTAGCTGGGATTGCATGTGAACCACCAAGAAGCCTGTCTTATTCGTCCAGGTATTCCACTTGAGCATTGACGTCTCCAGTGACTGCTACGACGTGTGTTGATCGAACACCTTGGAAAACGGAAAGATCCTCAAAATTTCTCCTTGATTTCCAGATTCATTACAGTCGGTCGGTGCATACACTGATACGACTAATAAGCATTGACGCATTGTTCTGTAGCTGTTGACCCGTAATGAGCCCTCGAGGTGTACAGCGCCTAGTAGGCTACTTACTGGGATGCGATCAAGAAGCAAACGCTCAGCCTTGACACTTATCGCAA